AGGAAGACTAAATATATAGTCGAAACGTAGGCTTTTTCAAGAAAATAAAGAGTTTCTGTTCACCGTCCCAAACCCGCTAAACTTGACACCAGTTTCTAACCAATGTTGTGTGATACTGTTTACAAATTAATCTCTTCCTAACGTTTGGCAAGCATCACTGGCTCGCATCTTCAGATGTGTTAAAACCACTTGTGAAGAGGCAAGCCACTGGGGTTTACAAAACGTCAGTAAGAAATTATTTTCCACCACGGCCTCAAAGCTAGAAAAACTCACCAGCTGAAGCCACACTTTTTAGTACCCTGGTTATGTATAAAAAAAAAGAACTTAATCAAAATAGAATTCGTCTTAACAACCTCTAAAGTACAAGGAGAATCTCCGCTTGAAACACCCTTCAATCTATCATGACGATTTTCTTTGGGGATTTCGGCCCCAAATCAGGAAAAAAATGTGAATTCTGAGATTAAAATGGAACAAGGCCTGTGTCCATCAAGTTCATCCCTTGGGATTGTTGTTATCAAGACAACCACAGGTAATGTGGCCTCTATCGTTAGCATGGTGAAAGGGATTCGGGATGCGAACGACCCGAGATTCGTTTATTCTTAACGACATCGTTTACTTCATTATTATTTGGGCTTGTACAGTTTTTGTGTGGCGTTACAAATGGTTCTTTTTATCTCTGATCTCTAATCCGGCTCAATGCAAAAGAAGGTCAACAGCTTTCTTTGATTTTTTGCCATTTTCCTTGGAAACTATTCCCCGTATTAGTTTACGGTAGAATTGAGAATAGTCCGGCGAAAAACATCCCCAATTACCCTTTCGTTGATAGGTGAGGCACTTTAGTTTGCGTCAACTCTGCTAATCGCATTATTTTGTTAGCGATTCCTCGTCCTAGCAAAACTTCTGTTGCCAAAGTTTCGGTCATGAAAGTTTTAATTCGATTTTTCACTGTCTTAAAGTGCACCTAATGATTAAATGCCATCTAGTCAAGCTTCCGCTATTTAGGGGGTGAAACCCTGAAATTTACTAGCAGTGTACAAAAAAATTACCTGGTTTTGATTGTTTCATATTGAACAAGCACTCGCCTGTAGGATGCCAATATAAACATTTTGTTTAAATACCATAAAACAAATATATCAAACGTAAATAACAGTAACATGTGAGATTTTTATTTGCCGTTCATATTAATTAAACAGGGTAAAGTTCCACTAAACTTCGTTAAAAATTATTCCAATTCTGAATATGTTTACATTTGCTTGGTTGATGATGAATCGAAACTGCTGTTGAAACCGCTTAAACGCTTGTATTTACTGTTGTATTGAACCTTCGTTTTTCCAAGCCAATGAAAATTTTAGCTCTTTAATAATAGAATATATAGAAGCATCCAAACGGTGTATTTCAGTGGCAACACGGCTTTGCAAAGTTGAGTTTAAAAAGGATTTGGCAAATGCTATTCTATTCTATTCACGGACAGTATCCAAAGCCAAGATCCCTTGAATAAATTATTTGCTGACCACCAGCAATGCTGCCCTTCTTTTACGATGTTTTATCTGAATTTCAAAAATGCCTTTATTTATGTTTATCGACTTCGGTTTCATTAAACATTAATATGGCCCACATGCAAAAACTGGAAATTGCTGTTTTTCTTTTATTGCCGGAAACTTCACCCATAAATTATTCGCTAAATTCTTTACACATTTGCGGTTTTTAGCTGGAAACAGTTGCTTTTCAAGGGATTTTATTTATCGTAAAATCTGCAATTGCAGTCGGTCAATATCCAGATTTTCTCGATTATCTCCTATTCAAATTGAGGAAAAGTTCGAAATGCAATATCGCAAGAGTCATTGAGTCTCTAAATGAAGTCTTCAAATTAAATATTAAACCGTGAGTTCAACTTTAATTAAAGAAACTCAATCTCCGTTCAGTTTCGAAGTTTTTATCCAGATGGACGAAGCACGGCAAGAAAGATTTACTTAAAGTTGCCAGTTTAGCTGCAATTGCGTTCAAACTTTGGCAACTGTAAAAACACCAAATAATCTCTAAATATTTATGCGGTTTCGTTCCAAAGTTCTTCTATGGCTCATTACTATGCAAAAAACCTCAGAGCTGCTTTATAAAAGACAACTAAGAGCAAAAGCATATTAGTGTTTGAAGCAGGAAAAGTTGGTGTGAAGAATCCTTCCTTGCTTACTAATCATATGGAGAAATAATGCATTTAAATGGGGAAGTTTTTAGTTGATTGCAGTTGGAAACGATCACAAAATGCAACGATTTAATTCAATCGATTGGAATAATGGCGATGACACTTAGTTTATTTTGTCTAAACCAACAGCTCCAACATGCTAAATTGGAATTACTGGTTTTATTCGCAGTAAACCTTTAATTATATTGGGATATGTGAATAACGCTCAATTTTATTCATTGGAAACAATCGGTTTGCAACAATAACTCAGATTCAAGCGGAACGGGCAATCAAATGTTTTGTATATTTAATAATTTAATTACTTAGTTCACACAAAATATTTATACATTGATTAGTGAGCCATTGCCGATGCCCTTTCGGTCCATGAGGGATGATTTTAGAAATGGGATTGAATTAAATTTATCATTCTGATGCACATCAACAAAAAAATGATGGAAAAATCGAGGAAGCATACAGAAAATTTCACATTTTGAAAATTATTATTAAACACGCAGTTTGGTTTCCTCAATTTTCTTCTGTTCAATATGTTACATTGACCCATTCATTCACTACACCGTTAAACTTTCGCGAAATATATTATTCTTTATGTTTCGATTTGAATAAAACCGAGGCCGAGGCAATCAAAAGGGCATTAAGAGAATCGATTCGCCATAAAAAGCGCTTTAAAGGTGTTCGCAGTCCGGCAAAAATGGCACACAACTCCTATTGCAATATTGACCTGTCGATTTGCTTCGTAGCAAATAGAAAATTCCAAAACCAAAGGTTTATTGAGGAAATTTCGAAGCGATCATAAAATGAACATCAAAGCCAATTTTCTAGCGCTTTCCGCTGAAATGGTCCTCATCAAAAGTGTTTGCTGCATTGGTCCCCGACGTTTCCATAATAGTGAAATTGCGTGACTTTAACAATTACCTCAAGACGACGTTTGAAAGTGGCCGAAAATATAGTTTCTCATTTGCAAATTAGCAAGCTATTTGTGTGGATAAATCATTCGCCTAATTTCCAGTTGCCCATTTTTTGTTCCTTTACCTTTAATGGTTTATACATTTATTTGGGGGGTTTGAAAGGGGGTTCAAGCACACAACAATGACTTATTGTTTACTATTTGATATTGCAATTATTTTTGAGTTGAGATTTTTATTTTGCATTGTATTTTATAATAGCCTTTCATTGTCAAAGAAAATCAATCCAAACTTCCGTAAAAAACAATGATGTCCAAATGATAAATTCTACATTCAATTCGCCAGTTAGTTCAGGAAGAACATTTAAAAAGTGTGAAGAAATACAGAGTGTTTCCTTTAGTTAGGTGCAGATTGTGTCATAAAAGTATATGATTTACATGCTTGTTACATTTAGATAGTGAACACACTGAAGCAAATTTCCTTTTCTGGCTGAAAAACACAACTAAAACATTCCAAAAAAGCGAAAACCGCGGAACAGTCAAGAATGGACATTGCAAAACACCATCTCAATGTATACAAACAATTGACGAAAATAAAGTTTTCGACCTTTCCCAAAACGAAACAGCCGATATTAATTTTTGAGATGCACTTTGGATAAAATGTATTTCCAGCAGGAAACAGAACGAAAACTGCGCAACGATCCGAAATTGGAAGTTTCTGCAATTAGGATCGTTTGTTACCGAGCAGCAGGCTTTTTGCCATCCCCAAAGCCGCAAAACGGTGAAATATTATGACCGTAGGTGCATCCATTATGGGGATGTGCAAGCGAATGAATGTCATTCGTTACTTAGTTTTGAATGCGCTTCTTTCACGGTTATTTATTCGAAATTAGCTCCTCCGCTTCGGGCATTTAATTCATATTTAATATCCCTTGTATTTTATCTCTAGCTATTTATTTTGTTCCAGGAGTTATAACAACCACAGCTCGGAAGTTGGACCGTGAGACGCAAGACGAGCATATTTTGGAGGTGAGTTTTTACCATTTAGCTCGAAGCTGAATTCTATTAGTGCCCAAATAATATAATCAATAAATGCGCATTTCCAGGAAACTAAATGTAAAACGTGTCTAAACAAAAACAACAGCAAGTCTCGGTATAAACTTGTTATTGATAGAAATTCACAGAACGCCAGTATTTCTTCAAATGTGAAAAGGTTATCCTATATTTGATATTGGCGTTTATATGTGCGATTATGCGAATCTGGAAGCGGGTTTTCCAATTTTAATCAGTTTGACTGCACAAAGTGCACGCGTCTCATCCAAAATGGGGTTTTCTCTACCTTTCGCGGTAACGTTTTTGAGTTTGATAGCCGAATCTAGCTTGATTTATCTTAATCATGAGAGGTTTCGTCCTCAAGACCGTAAGTATGAAGCTTGAATGTGCACTGGAAAACTAATTGGCAAATAAAAATCTTCGTCCAGCTCACTGGAGATTTGGTAGGCCCGTTCAGAGCTTTCCACCCAATGCAGACTTCCAGGATGATTCAGATAACTTTTTGTACACACAGCATCAAATCGCACAATTGCATAGTCTAGAGCCTCAAGCCAAGGAGTACGACGGCAATTCAGCCAAAAGAGGATACTTGGCAAACAAATTTTTCGTTTCTGATGATCAAGTGAGTGTGGTGATCACAAATAAGGATTCTTCGCGAAGAAGAGCTGGGTGAAAAGAAAATGTTTTAGTTGCCCTGGACAGAAGCTCGATCGGCGTGTCTTTCCAAGGGCATGATACTGACCGCTCCTCGGAACATGTTGCAAATGCATAAATTGCGCGACTATTTGCGAATTAATGACCTGATCCCCACTGATAGTTTTTGTAAGTTATTTAACATAAAACTGTGCATAAATAGTTTGCAAAGAAAGTTGAACAGAAAACGATTTTTCAGACCAAATAAGTTTAACCAAAATTTTCAATACTTTTAGCAGGATTTTGGGTGGGAGATCAAAGTGCAAGTGACCCAAACGAATTCATCAGTACATTTAATGGCGAAGTGATTAACGATGAACTGTGGGTGGTGAGAAAAATCAACCTTCCGCTAGGTCAAAAATGCGCCGAATTCCAAAAGCTGAAATATATAACGCGCACTTTGGATCTGATTTGTTTTAATAGAAGAAGGTAAATGTGAACATTCCTTGAAAATAAATCAGCCAACTCCAAACTTCCCAGATACATTTGTGAGCAAACCGAAAACGAAGAAGCTCTGAAGAACAAAAGTGGCTCCCAACTAGCATCTAATAGTACGCAGGAAGCTCATCATGAAATCAACAAAATTTCTGCTGAAGTTAACGGAACTCAAAGCTTCAACGTTACTTCATCTAGTGTTAACATGAGAACAAATACAAGTATTAATATAACTTCAACCACAACTGAACAACCAACCACTTCCACAGACTATGCCGACTATGCAGAAGCGATGTACCAGAATGGGTGGCAAGAGCCGATACACTACTTTGACGATCCTTTTGCTGATCACGATTACTATTAGAATAGTAATCCTCATACATACCTCAAACAATATAAAATTTTTCTTTTGTTGGTTTTTTTGTCCAATTTCCATTTTAAATTTAATTATTTAACTCGACTGATAATCGTAATGTGGGTAATCGTTTGATTAGTATTTTCCCCAGCTAAAATGCTAAATTGAATTTGCTAATTTATTGATGTTGCGGAAGCACATTCACATTTGATCAGATTGCTCTGTCCAGAAATAGCTTATTATCAGAAATGTGACGAATTTGACCTGTTTGCTTAATGACCCATTTTGGGTGATTCTTTACGATAATAAATACTTTTTAATTGACGATTTTCTTCTACTATTACAAAAGTTCTTCAAGTCCCTTTTTCGCCCGGAAAATTGTGGTCAACAACCATGTCTTCTAAAGCAAAGGACTGAAAGTCTGAACATATGAATGAACGTATTCAAGACAGTGAGAGTCAGGTATAACTTGACTAAGTATAATAGGCGTTGTTCAAAGGATATTTTCCATTATCAATTCTCATTACATGTAATAATGGCCCTTCCGAGAATTACGAAGCTCATAAAAGTTGACTGCTGTGAAGCTTCATAAACTTTCTAATTAACTGCTTATATTATTTAGCGCGTGAAGACGCGAAAAGGAGAATTTCAAATGGGTTCTAATATTCGAGCGCCATAGAGCTGTCGGGGTTAGTTGCGATAATGAGCTAAACTGCCGCCATGCTCTAAGGCCATTAACAGTTCCATAAATAATCTTTATCGTTATTATTTTGCAAAATGCTAAGCATTGAAAAACTAGTCAAATCAACTGTTTAGACCACAATAAATATGCACAAGTTGATGCTCACTTTATCGTTACATACATTTGTTGGGAACAATAGTTTTTTGCCAAAAAAGTATCTTATTCGGGGGTAATTGCACAAGTGCTTCAAAATTATCTGTTTATTTTGATGCACGAGTGTAATTTTGATGAATATATCCTGAGTAAACAAAGTAAGTAAATGTGGATTCATTTTATTTCTATTATATTTTATTACCCTTTAAATTTTATTACTTATGTTTATTAAATTTAATTTGAATATCTTAGGTA